TCTCAAGAGAGAAAGCAAACAATAGAAAAGAACCAAATAGAAATATAGAATTAAAAAATATCTGAAATGAAAAATTTATTAAATGGGCTTAATAGCAGGTTAGAGATGAAAGAAAAATATAGCAATTTAATATTTTAAAAAGTGAAAATAAGTTATCTAATGTAGAGAGAAAAAAGTGAGTTTAAAAAATAATGACCAGAGTTTAAGTGATATGTGGGATGATATCAAACTGTCCAACATATGTGTAAGTAGAGTTCCAGAAAGATAGGAGCAGAAAAGGTTTAGGAATAAGAAATATTTTGAAGATATAATGGTTGAAATTTCCCGCAAACTGGTGAAAAACCAATGTCTATTACAAGAAGCTCAGCCAACCAAAAGCAAAATCAACACAAAGAAAACCATACTTAGGTATATCACAGTCAAACTGCTGAAACCAAAGATAAAATCTTGAAAGCTGCCGCAGAAAAATGACACTTTACACATAGGTGGGCAACTGTAAGGATTAAGGCTGATTTCTCACTGTAGTGCAGAACCAGTTCCAAATGGTCGTATCCGCTTTCTAACAAAACCTGATCCAGTTTCAGTTGTGGACACAGCACTCTTGAGTAACACTTGTGACCCCTTAACTGCTTCCCCCAAAGGAAATGAAGGATGCGGCACGACCAGAACCTAAATGAACACTGGAACCCTTTCAGAAGCAAAGGGTCCACTCTCCAGGGAGATAAATTTGAGCCTTGTCTCCTGTCTTCTTGTCGGTAGACCCCACAGCAAAAGCTTTTTTCTTCTCTCAAAAGCCAGTGCCGCCCAGTCAGGTGTGGCTCAGTGGTTGAGCGTCGACCTAGGATCCAGGTGATCGGGGTTCGAGTCCCGGTCAGGGCACATGTCCGGGTTGTGGGCTCGATCCCCAGTCGGGGGCACGCAGGAGGCAGCCGATCAATGACTCTCATCATTGATGTTTCTCTCTCTCTCTCTCCCCCTCTCCTTTCCTCTCTCTGAAATCAATAAAGATATATTTAAAAAAAAAAAAAAAAGCCAGGGCCATAGCTGTACCTGCTGAGCGCGTCAGACAGTGAGCCCCCGCTTGGTGGCATCACCACAAACGATGGAAGCCATGGACAAATGGGAGGGCATGTTGAAAAAGTGGAAAGGAAGTAACTGCTTCCTGCCCAGAATTACATACCCAACAAACACGTGGATGAAATAAAGGTGGGGAAAAACAAAAGTGAAATAAAAACTGAAAAGACTTTGTTCCCAGGCTGAAAAGAAGTAACAACAGAGGGGGAAACTATAGGAAAGAAATGAGAGCATCAGAAATATGGGTAAAATTTAAACAATTATTAAAATATATATTACACATATAAAATACATATAAATAATACTTTCTTCCCTTGATTTCTTTAAAACAGTGATTAAAGCAAAAATTACAACACTGTACTATGGGATCAATAATATATGGAGGTGTCATATCCTTGGGGAAATTACCATACAGGATGGGGAGGGTAGTAAAGCAACATGGAAGATTATAACACTGTATGTGAAAGTCATACAATTTTAACTCTAACTAGACTGTGACAAAGTAAGGATATTCAACATCGTAATTCCTAACGTAACCACCAAAATAATAATAATAATAACGATACAAAGAGGTGTGGGCAAAAAGCCAATAGAAGTATTAAAAGAGAATACTGAAAAATATTCTATTATCCCAAAAGAAGGCAGAAAAGGAAGAAGAGTAGAACAAGTATCGGAAGGGATAAATTTTAAAAATGAGACTAAATCCAATCATATTAGTAATTACATTATATATAAGTAGTAAAACACTACTTATATAGAAATACAAAGGACCTGCAACAGCAAAAGAAAACCACAATAAGAAATCCAGGCTAGACCCACACTCACATAATCAATTGATTTTTTACAAAAGAACCAAAGCAATTCTGGGGGGAAGAAAAGCCTTTTCAACAAGTGCTGCTGGAACTAGATATATGTGTGAAAAACCATGAACCTCAACCACTAACCTCACACCATACACCAGAATTAATTCCAGATGGGTCAAAGTCCTAAACATAAAAGGTAAAACTATAAAGCTTCTAGAGGAAAACAGAATATCTTCATAACCAGGGGTTAGCAAAGACTTCTTAGGTAGACTAAGTCTATAAAGCAATAACCATAAAACAAACACAATAGTAAATTAGTCTTATGAAAATTAACTTCTCATTAAAAACCTATTAAGAAAAACATAATTTATAACAAATATTCTTTATTTTTAAACAAAGTTATAAATATGTGTATAAATATATTCACATATAGATGACAAAGGGCTTCTCTCTCTAAAATATAAAGACGTCTAACTTAAAAATAAAAGACATAATTTTACAAAGGAAGCTATATAGCCAATATGTATGTGAAAAGGTGCTCCAAATCAATAACAATAAAAAATTAAAACCACTGTGAGATACTTCTACACACCCAACAAAATGGCTAAAAATTAAGACTGATAACATCAAATGTTGATGAGAATGTGAAGCACCCAGAACTCTCATACTTTGTTGGTGAGTATAAAATGGTACAACCACCCTGGAGAAAGGTCTGACAAGTTTCTTGTATACTGAGCATACACCCACACCTACCCTATGACCCAGCAATTGCGCTCCTAGATGATTACCCAAGAGAAACTGGGCTTGCTCTAAATAAAGCAGTATTCCTCCCTTTAGTCTTAATCCCCTTAATCGCCTTCATTTTTCTCAATATCACTGACCACACTGACACATGTAGACTTATCTCTTCCCTGAGAGAATATAGGTTCCACAAGGATGGGGGCTTTGTCTATTTTTTATTTGTTGCTATATATTCAGTTCTTGTAATAGTTCTTATAATAACGTGGCATTTGTGTGCCTTGCTCAAAAAATATTTATTGCTCTGGCTGGGTGTCTCAGTTGGTTGGAGCATCATCTCATACACCAAAAGGTTGCAGGTTCGATCCCCAGTCAGGCAAGTACAGGAGACAACTGATGTTTTTATCTCACATCAATGTTTCTCTCTCTCTCTAAAAATCAATAAAAACATATCCTTGGGCAAGGAATATATATATATTTGATAAATTAACCAATGTATGATTCCAAGTAAATTTACAATTTTTATGGAAATTGGCCTGTTGATTCTAAAATGTATATGGAGGAATAAAGGTGCAAAAATAGCTAAGATACTATAAAAAGGAAATTGAGATATTCACTCTACATTTAGTTGCAAAGCTATAGGAACTAAGTATGATATTGTTATGGGACTACGCAGCTCACTAGAACAGAACAAAGTCCACAGAGAGACTCCAGCATATATGGGTGCATTGTGGGTATGACAGTAGAATCACAAATCAACTGGGAAAGACTCCTAACAATGGTGTTGGGGTAACTTTCACCACAGAGGAAAATTAAAAATTGACTTCTGCCCTAGCCAGTTTGGCTCAGTGGTTAGAGCGTCGGCCCTTGTACTGAAGGGTCCTGGGTTCGATTCCAAACCAAGGGCACATACTCGGTTGCAGGCTTGATCCCCAGCCCCGGTCCGGGCGTATGCAGGAGGCAACTAATCGATGTCTCTCTCTCACATCGATGTTTCTCTCTCCCCCCCTTCCACTCTCTCTGAAAAGCAATAGAAAAAAATATCCTCAGGTGAGGATTTAAAAAAAAATTGACTTTTGAACTTACTCCACACAAAAATAAATTCCGGATAAAGACTTAACATTCAAAAAACCTTCTAAAACTATAAGGAGGTTACTATATGACCTCATGGTAGAGGCTTTTTTCTTTTTAATCCTCACTCAAGGGTATTTTTTCCATTGCTTTTTGGAGTGGGAGAAACATCGTGAGAGACACACGATTGGTTGCCTCCCCTGGGGATCGAGCCTGCAACCAAGGTACACGCCCTTGACCAGAATTGAACCTGAAACCCTTCAGTCAGCGGGCCAGTGATTTAACCACCGAGTCAGACCAGCTATGGCAGAGGCTTCTTAGCACCAAAACAAGCCCCACGAACCATAAAGGACAAGATATACCAGTTTGACTTAAAAACACTTTGTCCATCAATAAACAAATTGGATCAAGATGTGTTCCATATATAGAGTGGAATATTTGCCGTAAAAATGAATGACATCTTACCATGTGCAACATGGATGGGCCAAGAGGGTATTATGTAAAGTGAAATAAGTCAGGTAGAAAAAGACAAATACATGATTTCGCTTATATGTGAAACCTAAAAAACAAAACAAACAAAACAGAAAAAAGTCATAGAGAATAAACTGATGGTCACCAGATGTGAGGGGGTCTGGCAGTGGGTGAAAAAGGTGAAAGAGAATAAGCAGCATAAATTGCCAGTTATGAAAACAGTCACGGGGATGTAAAGTACAGCATAGGGAACATAGTCAATAATATTGTAGTAACTATGTACGATGCCAGGTTGAGTGCTAGACTTATTGGATAACTAAGTTACATAAATGCCTAACCATTGTGCTGTACACCTGAAACTAATATTGCTATCAACTGTAATTGAGAAATAAATTTTTAAAAATTAGAAACATTTAAAAATGCATGCTGAACATATGTAGCAAGTAAACAGCAAGGTATTTGTGATGTTACTCCTGCAACTCAGTAAGAAAAAGCCCAACAGCCCAAGAGATAACCAGGCAAAGAATAAACACACATGAAAAAAAATGCCCAGACCCATTGGCAATCACAGAGAAGCTCATGAAAATAACATGACACCAGATTAATGAAATTTTATCAAGACAATATAAAGTGCTGACAAAGATGTGGGAAATAAGTACTTTTTGAATACTGCTAGTAAGGCTGAAAAACAGCCATTTTGAAAACAATTTAGCTCGTTGAACTGGGAATATATGTGGTCTATGACACAGCACAGGGACAGATGCAAAAGGCTGCTCCCTGCAGCACTGTTTCTACAGTAAAATGTTGAATATTCCTGAATGTCCACTAATAGAGGAGAATAAATACACAAAACGTGCCATATTTATTCAATAGAATAGTGGTTATAATAGATGTATACAAATCAACATAGAGCCCCAAGACACAGTAAGTGAAAATAAAGGGTACAGACAGCTTGATATTTATGTACATTTTTAAAACACCAAAACAATACTGTTTCCTTATGATACCAGATGAAAATATAAATAGAGAACACATGCAAATTCACTGTGGTGGTTGCCCCTGCAGAGTACAGGGGGAACAGGACTGCGAGAACTGGTTAAATAAGGAATTTGACTTACATCACAGTATGCTATGTCTTAAAAAGGGGAATATTACTCCTGGATGATGGGAATGTAGATATTTATTATTGTCCTTTTTGGTTTATTTTGTCAAAGTTTTATTTGCAGCATACTTCCCCTGGTGCTCAACCATGCTGTTCCAATACAAGTAGGAAAACTGCTGGTACCAGACACACGGAGACCAGCACGATGCCGAACTTTACACATTCCAATGATGTTCCGAGTAAATGCTGACCATACACGATTTTAGCCAACTGACAAACCTGAGTATTCTTTTCTAAGTTGGGAATCACAGCATTCATCAACATGCAAAATGAAAAGCAAACATGTAAAAGACTTCTTCATTTAGATAAATTTTTTTTGTTTACTTAATTTTATTGTTGACAGTATTACAGGCATACCCCATTTTTTCCCTTTTTGTCACCCTCCACCCAACATCTGAAGGCTGGGGTAGATAAGGATTTCTGAGAGTCCAATCATACATACAAAATTAAGTTAACCAAAATCTCGTTTCTCCAGTGCCATCTGGTGGGGAAGAGAGGCAACCTCATCTGTACCGTCCACAAAAACTGCACATTTGCAGTCTTCCGAGTACCTTTTTTTTTCAACGAAGCACCCACTTTTACTGAGGTTACTGTACAGTACACTAGCAACCATTTACTTTCTTTAGAGCCTTCCTCAAACTAAACCCTTCAGCCTACAGATTAGATAAGAATTTTACCTTCTCTTGCTCACCTACTTTAATGTTTTTAAATCAAGGGATGCTTTAACTTCCTCTTCACCAGACCACTCTGCAATCCTAATCTGCATTCATCCACTTCTCAAAGCTTCTAGAGTACACAAGTCCAACAGTTGATTCTATGTTAAAAATTAGTGTCACTTTGCTTTATATAAACTTATGATGATAAGCCTTTTATTTAAAGGACTTTTAAAATGTAACATTGGCACTATAAATATGCAGTGGGAATTATAAATAATTCCTTCTTCCAAGTACTGGATGGAGACAGTACAAAACATACAGTATCTTACCAAGAGTCAATAAAACAAAGCTAGATTTTTCAGACATTAAAGAAAAATATTAACATTAAAAAGGAGGGGGGGGACAGAGTAACCAGGTTATTAATCCCCCAATTTGCAATACTGAGTTCCTTCATCCATTTGCAATCCAGAGACATAACTAAGCAGGGTGGTAAAATACACTAGAAATTGCTAACTGTACTCAGACAAAAGTCAATTCTAAATAGTTTTCCATTAGTGTTTTATGTGGCTTTGATTCCATTTGAGCTTTACAATCTGCTGTAATAGACAGCTTTTTAATCGTTTCCAATTCAGTGATAGCAGAAGATGAAATAAAGTCAAAGGCACTCCTTCGGAGGCTCAAAATTGTTAGATTCTGATGTAGATTTAAATTTAGCAAGTTTCAGTCACTCCATTTAGATGATCCTGTAGGTTCACACAAACACACTGAACTGTTGGTTTAACTTCTCTTCCTTTCTCAAAGTTTATGATAAAGAGACTAATCCCTGTATTGGAACTGACTGGTACAAATTCGGATTTGCTCAGAGTTGCTGGTAAGGAACACTCAAGGTCAGTCAGAAAATAATCAAACAGGCCTTTCATGTAAGCACCATGACTCACAACTAAGACACTGGCTACTAATTCTGGAGCACCACTGTCTGAATTAAATTTGGAGGCACAGTTTTTTCCTAAAGGGAATATCTCTGCCAAAGAAGTTTCCAGACAGCTGCTTGGAGCTCCCGAGGAACACGGTTCTTTTTGACCTGCTTCCTTTAGGATGAGTTGACAAAGAAATCCAAAAAAGTCTTTTCCACGCATCTTCACCTACAGGGAGAGAAAAGGCGAAAAAAAGTGATATTAATGACTGTCTTAAAACATAAACCTAAAACCTGACTGGATTTTTCTAATATGTCAATGTAAGTACTATATGAGCAGATCAACCGCTATATTTCTATTTATTCAATCAGTAGTTCCACGTGCATTAGTAAGTGCCCACCATACTTCTGGAACTATGGAAGCACACTGGGGGCAAAGAAGATTAAGATACAATCCCTAATTCCTGACTCAAAGCACTCAGAGTCTAGTCAGGGAAATCTGCAAGTAAACAGAAGCCCATAAAATAGTGTTAACTAGGAGACTACATCTGACACTTCAGTTTACTTAGAACAAGGACAGGAAAAAACAAAAAACCCTTTCGTTTACTAAATTAATAGAAAGTCTTTATAAGAAAATTATGAAAATTACGAATGGGGAGAAATCACCAATAATACAATTTGAGGCAGAACGGTCCAAAGAAATGCAAGTATGGCAATGCGGTCACAGAGCCGGAGAGGAGGTAGAGGCCTGAAGACGGAGGTTTGAGTTAGTTTGCCTCTCAGGTGTTTTGCCTGTCAGTCTCCTTGACCGTCACCACTTGCTTACTGACTCCCATTACCACTGCTGAAGTTACTGCTTCATATGCAAAGAGTTTTCTTATCAGTAACGCCTAAAAACACCCATCCTTTAAATACACTATTAGCTACGACTGCCAACGTAACAGTCAACAGGAAAGGTAGGGTAGCTTAAAAAGAAAAAAAAAAAAAAAGACATCACACAGAGTTGTTTTAGAAACCAAGCAATTTTCAAAATGCTTAGGTAAAATTTAGGAACATCTAATTTACAAAAAAGGGTCAGATTTCAGCTTCTGTGCCATTGGCAAATTCATCAGCATGCCCCAGGGCTACGAACCTCGTCCAAGGTCTCTCCTCCGGGCGGTGTGAACCCAGGGCATTCTTCCCCAGCTGCTTTGGCCATTGCCTTGAGCTCACTCAGGCCCTTGCCTTCTGCAACCCCGTATTTCTGCAATGTCCAACAGACAAAAGTGCCTCCAGTGAATATGCAATACGACAATTAAGTACAAGTTTGAAGAGAAATGAGGATTCAAGAACTATTTAGAGGTAGAATTGACAAGATGAGGACAGATGTGCAGTGTGAGAGACAGAAAAGAGTCAAGAAGGAATGGTTTGAACAATTGGTAAAGCAGGAGCTGGGTGGAGAAAGGAGAGTGCAGCCCACTGAGTGGAAGTAGCTGCAGGGTATTCAAACAGAAGTGAACAGTAAGCAGCCGGATACATGAGTGTGCAGCTCAGGTCAGAGATCTAAGCTAAAAGTACCTGCTTGGAAATCATCAGCCAATTAACTGAAATCATTAGAGAGGATGCAATTACTCAGGCTTTTAACTAAATCACAGTTTCAGAAAGATTCATTTCTGGTATATAAAATGGACTATTTGTGCTTAAAATCAAGGAGTAGAACTGGGAAGCTGAGGGAGAGAGCTTTACAATTTTAGTTTAAACTCTTCTGTACTGTGTTAAATTCTTACAAATATACCTTGCTTTTATAATTTAAGATGTATATAATATGATTTCGCCTGGCCAGGTGGTGCAGTTGGTTGGAGTGTCGTCCCATACACAAAAAAGGTTGTGTGTTCGATTCCTGATCAGGGCGCATACCTAGGTTGTAGGTTCGATCCCCAGTGAGGGAGCATACGGGAGGCAACCGAACAATGCTTCTCTCACATCAATGTCCATCTGTCTGTCTCTCTCCCTTCCTCTCTCTTCTAAAAGAACAACAAAAAACCAATGAACATATACTCCAGTGATTAAAAAATATTGAAAAAAAATGTGTCATATGATTTTAATGATATTTATGCTATCTATGAGAGTATGTAACAGTGACTGTTACCTCATAGATTCTCAACAAATGTTACCTGTTTCCATATCTGTAGCAGGAATGAATTTTTAGCCATGTGATAACCTGAGGTGGTTATTGATAATTTATGGTAAAGAATAATACATAAGTTACTCACTCTTTCTCGAAGTCTTGAATCATACTTCACTGTCACGTCTTGGCAACATTTGCTCTTCTCCAAAATCCCATGCACGGTCTGAAAAATCAAAAGACAAATGATTCTCTTCTCCTAAAAATAATCATTCTGGCCAAAACGTCAAAATAATACATGCTTTCTTAGTGAATAAAAATGAACTAGAAATAATTTTCCTTTGCAAAAGCTGCCTCTCTTTCTACTGTTCATCCTTTGTCTCCTCATGCCAGATTTTCCTATTTCCTTCTACCCTAACTTCTAGTTCACAAGTCAGCAAACTACAGCCTATAGACCAAATCCAGACCATCATTTGTTTTTGTAAATAAAGTTTTACTACAAAACAGACATTTATGTATTGTTTATGGCTGCTGTCACAGTGAAACAGCAGAGCTGAACAGCTGTCAGACCATATGGCCCACAAAACTTAAAATATTTACAATCTGGTTCTTTACAGAAAAGGTTCTAGCTCAGGTGTGTCTAAATTGCTGTTAAATCCATTCAGTCTTAATTTTAGTTTTATTTTCAATTCTAGAATTTGCATTTGATTCTTGTTTACAGTTTCCTCTGCTGCAATTCTCAATGTCTTTTACCCATGCATTAAGTGGTTATTTTAAAGCCTATGGCTGGTAACTCCCATTATCAGATTACTCCCAGGTTATTTCTGCTGCCTTTTGTTTTTATTTATTTTTGTTCACATTTCCTTCTCATTGAGTGGCTGGTTCTTTTTAATGGACAAGAGACATGTATTTGCAAAACTGTAGTAATTAAGTCCACAACCTGCCTTGTTTTTTAATGCCCTCCCCACAAAATTAGACATCATCATCATAACTGTTTCATATTGTCAATAGTTATTTATATTCACCTAACCTTTGGCAATTTCTTTGCTCATCATTCTTTTCTGAAACTCAGACTTTCCTTCTGGAATTATTTTTCTTCTTTGGTTATCCTTTAAAGTTCTTTACAGCCTATTTGTCTGAAACGTTCTCATTTCACCTACACTTAGAAAATGTTTTGCTGGGTATAAAACTCAAGGTTAATCCTATTGTCTCTCAGCACATTAAAGGAAGGAATCATTATTGATGCTGACAAATTTGTTGATAGTTTAATACTGATCTTTGATAGATAATGCTTTTCCTTCTTATTCTTTGGAGTTTTGCAATTTTGTTATAAGTGTAGATATGGGTTTTTCTTTATTCTGACTGGGGTTTGCTATACTTTCTGGATCTGATAATTTATTATCTTCCAACAATTCTGTAGAATTATCAGCTTTGTCCCAAGAAACTTTTATAAAGATTTTTCTCCTGTTTGTTTTTATTATTTATTGTTGACATTATTACAGATGCCCCCCATTTTTCCCCTCTTTACCCCCCCAGACCCTATCCTCCCCTCCCTCTGGCTATAACCAAATTATTGTCTGTGTCCATGGGGTATGCATACACGTACTTTGGCTATTCTCTTCACTTTCTTTCATCCCATCTGCCCCCCTACCCCACCTCCCCTCTGACATGTCAGTCTGTACCATGTATCCATGACTCTGGTTCTATTTTGTTCATAAGTTTATTTTGTTCATTAGATTCCACATATAAGTGTGATCATATGGTATTTGTTTTCTGAGCGGCTTATTTCATTTAGCATTATCAGCTCAAGGTCCATCGACGCTGTTGCAAAAGGTAAGAGTTCCTTCCTTTTTACAGCCACTTAGTATTCCATTGTGTAAATGTACTACGGCTTTTTATCCACTCATCTATTGATGGACACTTGGGCTACTTCCAGATTTTGGCTATTGTAAATAATGCTGCTATGAACAGAGGAGTGCATATATTCTTTTTGACTGGTGTTTTGGGATTCTTAGGATATATTCCCAGAAGTGGGATCACTGGGTCAAAAGGTGGTTTCATATTTAATTTTTTGAGGAAATTCCATACTGTTTTCCACAGAGCCTACACCAGTCTGCGTTCCCACCAACAGTGCACTAGAGTTCCCTTTTCTCCCCAACCTCACCAGCACTTGTCAATTTACTGATGGTAGCCAATCTGGCAGGCATGAGGTGATATCTCATTTTGTCTCCTGTGTTTTCTTATAGAAGTTTTATAAATTTAGCTTTTAGATAAGTTCTATGATTAATCACAAGTTAACTTTTGTGTTGTGTGAGCTAAGAGTCTAAGTTCACTTTTTTCCATACGGATAGCCCATACAGTGTTTTAGTACCTTTTATAGAAAAGACTACTCTTTCAATCACTGAATTATCCTGGCATCTTTGTCAAAACTCAACTGACCAAAAACACTCAAAAACAACTGACCATTAAAGTGTAGCTCTATTTTAGGTCCCTCAACTTCTGCTTGAGAGAAAAAGTCATTTCACCTAATTTTTTAAAGAATTAGCACTGGGCACATATTTGAAAATTTTAGTCATTATTTACTCAAAATATTTGTTTTTAATCCTCATACTCATCCCCCACACCCACTTCCCTTTTGGGATTTCAAGTACATGTAAATTAAATTGCTTGATGCCGTACTATATTTCTCTGAGACTCTTCTATTTTCCTTTTCCAGTCTTTTTCCCTTTTATAATTTTAAAATAGTTTCTATGTCTCCATGTTCAATGACCTCTTGTACAGTGTCTATTCTGCTGTTAATTACATCCTGTAAAATTTTCATTCAGAATATTGTATCTTTCATCTCTAGAAGATAAATTTGGCCCTTTTGTTCCATCCTCTATTTCTCCTCATTATGCTCCTCTAAGGACAGTTTATCCTCACTTATTAAGGTGTAATCCTATGACAATTCTCCTGTATGCTCTATGTATTCAATAAAATCTCTCCAGTTTAGCTAGTCAAAACTCAAATTGATTCCCAAACCCTGTAAGCTCTAGGCGTTTTTCAGCTTACAGCTCCTCAGCAACTCCTCTACCCCTGGAAGTTGTGTTTTGCCTGGCCTCATGCAGGTTCACCCTAAATGTGCGCAGATTTATATTCCACCAAAGATTTAACGGGATCCCTATACATATTTCTAGATTTCTTTCTCTGTGTAGCTCTCTTCCAGTACTCTGCCCCACAAATTTAGTTACTTATCCTTCCCAAGCTATATCTCCTGAGCTCACTGAGACCACTGGGCTCTACTTGGCTTCTCCTACCAGTGTGGAAATTGCATTCAGCAGAAAATCAGGACAATCCTAAGGCTTACCTCATTTGCTGCATTTCATTTGTGGACCATAAACCCACACTGCCTGAAGTCCAGTATCTGAAAAGAGTATTTCACAAATTTTGTCCCATTTTCTAGTTGTTCACTTGGGGAGGCTAAATTCCAACTCTGTTATTCCCTCATAGTTGTCACAAAATCCCCCTTCCATTGAGCTTTTAGAAGTGGCTTTGGTTCTTTTTTAAATTTCTGGGGCTGTTTTTATAGTACTCTTGTTTCCTAAAGATATTTAAAATATTTCAAAAATGTTTTTTATTTCTTTATAGTAATATTGTATCTTTAAACTGTATCTAGTAATTCCAACACCTCACGTCTTTGTGAGTTAAATTCTCCTGTCTCTTTTCTTCTGGCTTTCTCTCTCATGATACCTTCTTTGCCTTTTTTAAGACATCTTGTTAGATATCTTTTCCCAAGCTGCTACTCTAATTTAAAAATTACCAAAATAAAGTAAAATGGGGGGGGTGGGGGAGTTCTGTCAAGAAAAGGAGAAGATTGGGGGTAATGTGTGTGTGATTAATTCCCTACAGATTCCAGTAGCAGGTTTTTCAAGGTTACAACTGGTGAAACTTTTGACCCATCACCCCGAAACCTTGACTCTAAACTTACCTGCTTTGTCCTAATGAGATCACTGGAGAAAACATGAGTAAACTTCACATTATTAAGAAATACACCAGCAGCAGCTGTTTGCTTAAATCCAGTTTCTGAAAGAGGCTCATCTACTCCTTGTCCTGTGGTATTAAGGAACAATATCATTCAAAAACATATATAAGGCATGCAAATTAAATCAGATGAAGAAACTATAAATGCATTTATTTCTATTTTATTGAAATGCTTCCTTGGGTACTTTCCCACTTAACTTTTCAGAGAACCGACAAGTAAAATTAAGCTATAAATCTATAAAAGACTCAAGTATTCAAATTTTCCCAAACCAATGTTTGCCTAATAGGAATAAGATGATAATGAAAATTCAACTGTCCCAAGCTTTCCCCTCTTTCACATTTTCCCATCCCTTTATTAGCTATATTTTATTAATGCTGGCTCCGATCTTATGTTTGTTCTCAACTCAGGTGTTATGTTTGAGTGGCAGGATCATCGCCTAAGAAAGTTTTTCCTTCTATCTCCACTGCGCAAATGTTCCGTATTATATTACTTTTTTCCTCCCTTCTCCTTTTTCACTTAAAAAATACTTTGATTGGAGCATGTAATCCATTTACATTAAGGTTACTATTAATAGGTACTTATTTATTGCCATTTTGTTTTATGCCTGTGTTTCTCTCTATATATTTCTTATTATTATTACAGCAGTCCCTTTAACATTTCTTGCAATGCTAACAATAAATATAAATTTAAAAAAATATTTTGGAACCACTATTTCCAGAGGAAAGGCTGATTAGATACTCTGAAGGCTTATCCTACTACAAAAGAACTAAGAGTGTGTGTGTGTGTGTGTGTGTGTTGCATTCCTAGGCTCACAGGATATAAGAGGAAAATCTCCAAGAGACAAAGCAAAGCAACCAAAAAACCCTGAGCTGAAACCTGAATATCAACATGAGAAAATGGAGTTGCTGTGATATTAGCATGGGGGTTGGGGTACCGACTGACAAGCAAAGTGGGAGAACTGGGTATTACTGGAAGCCAGGGATCCTGTAAGAAGGCTAATGTAGTTTCAGGTCAGTGGTAAAATCAAATGCAATCCTCTTCAAAGCAAATCATTCTCAATAAAGGCTAACAAGTTTTCTACTAATTCAGAGCAAGTAATAGTTTAGTCAAAGACTTAACACACAAGAAAATAATCCATCATGAATGAAAGTCACAGGAACCATCAGTAACAGATTTAGAACCAGTAACACTTCCGACACCGAAATCAGAAAATACAGACTACAAAGTAACATAAAGACAGAATCACACAAAAAAAGCAAATAACATGAACTTATCGAAAACTACCAGATGGCTTTCTAAAAGAACCAAATAGATCTTTTAATAATGAAAAATAGAATTGCTGAAGGAGAAAAGAATTTCCTCAATGGACAGAGGGAGATCCAGTAATACAGGGAGGCTTAATAAACTCCAAGACAGGCCTGGGCCTGAAGTCATTACCCAGAACGCAGCATGGATACAGATGGAACACGTCTCTGATATGTTAGAGACATGACAGAAAGAATGACAATTCCTAACCTACATCTAATTGGAACTTCAGAAAGAGAAGAAAAAATGGAGAGGAAATACATTGAGAATTTTCCAGAAACCTACAGATAAAGGAAACACAATGTAAATCAAGTAGGATGTTTTTTAAAAAACCCCTAGAGCCCGGTCGGGCGTGGCTCAGCAGTTGAGAGTCGACCTAGGATCCAGACAATCGGGGTTCGATTCCTGGTCAGGGCACATGCCCAGTTGCGGGCTTGATCAATGACTCTCTCATCATTGATGTTTCTCTCTCTCTCTCCCTCTCCTTTCCTCTCTCTGAAATCAATAAAGATATATTTAAAAAAAAAAAAAAAGAAAATGTTTTAAAAAAAACAAACCCTAGAGATATTAAAATAAACTGTAGAATACCAAAATCAAAGAGAAGATTTTAAAAGCAGTTTCAGAGAAAGACAAATTACTTACCATGAAACACCATTTGATTGAGAAAAGACTTCTTAACAGAAACAATAAAAGCCAAAAAGCAACAGAATAATATCTCCCAAGTGCTAAAAGAACTGCCAGTCTAAACTTACCTAGACTAAAAGCAATTAAACAGAACAAAAACAGAACTGTCTAGAACTGAAACTATCTTTACCATCAACCAATCTGCTCTAGAGGAACTTTCAAAGAAGATACTTCAGGAATGAAGGTCTGGGATACAAAAGAAGTGATAAAAGGAACTGGTAAATATACATGTAAATCTAAACAAACACTGTCTAAATAACAAATTAAATAATAATAGCTACATCCTGTTCAAAAGGATAGGACATGGATACTAAACAAAAGTAACATAAGTTCTAGGTATTTTTCTGGAGAGGGGCTAATTCATCTTATTCTTTATTAGGTATGAATGGTAAAAATTTAAAGAACAATTTTAACTGTTAATAGAAATGGCTTCTCATTGCAAAGCTCGTAGGGAAGGTGAGAGGGGCTGGATAAGGGGAGAAAACAAGCCCTTAAGAAGTAAAAGCAGGTGAAAAGGAAAGGAGAAAACGGAAGAACAGAGCACCAGCCGAAAGCGGCCACACATACCAATGACCAGAATCAAAGTACACAGACTCTGCCAATTAAAAGGCAGATTGTATTTTTTTAAAGAATCAAAATCAGCTACCTAGTATTTATGAGGTAATAACACGACATCAGTACACAGAAGGGTTGAAAGGAAAGGGACAGAAACACATATACCAGGGCAAATTCCAACCCCAGAACAGCGGGAGTAGCTCTATCACTCTCAGGGATGCAGCACTTCATGACAAAAGTCTCAGCAAGGATTGTGAGGATCACCATAAATAACCAGTGATCTAATTCACTGGGAATATATAACAAATTTTCAACTTGTATGTGCCTAATAAAATAACCTCTAACTATATAAAAGCAGAACATACAAAGCATACATTATACAATTTCAGATATTAAATGATAAACTGGCCACCACAGCCAGAAATTTAGCATATTTCATTCATAAACTGATATTCAGGTCATTTAGGCAAGTTAAAAAATCAGTAAAGTACAGAAGATTTCAACAACAAAAAACCCTAAGGTTGATTATTTGATATATAATTCCAAACCCAACAATTAGAAAACACAGATTTTTCTCAAGCAAATTTATAAAAACAGAGCATGTTAACAAATTTCAAAGAACTTTAACAAATAAACCATACTGTCAGAACACAAGCAATTACACTGGAAGTCAATCATAAAAGATGAAGGAAACAACAATAAAGCAAGCCCAGTCATTGGGAAATTTAATAAACAGTTCTAAATAACTCAGAGGTCAGTGAAGAAATCATAATGTAATTTAAGACACTTGGTGCTGAATACTTATTAAACTGCTATATATCAAAACCGTATGTATGCAACCAAAATAGTACTTCAAAAAATATAAGCCTGTAATGCTGAAAAAAGAAGAGGCTATAACTTCCAAGAACTAAGCACCTACCTTACAAAATCAGAAAAAGAACACAAAAGAAGCCTAAAAAAAACAAGTGTAAACACGAAAACTTTTATTCATGTTCCACTGTCAACTCGTAATGAAATGACACAAATGAGCAGCACCACAGGACAAGGTGGTCAGGGACATGAGTCAAAAGAATAACCTGGATGGGCACAAGTCACTGGAAACAAAGGTTCATTTATCAGACTCGTATCCAGCAGAGGGAGTCAGGCACACTGGGTATGAACATCAGTTTCTGCCAACCCCAGATGTCCCTAACCAAAAAAATAAAACAAAATGCTTTTATAATCACAGCACAGAAATAGTCATGTCTAGCTGAAACTTCATCAAAATATTCTTTAAAAGCCAGACTAGCCAGATCATAGGGAGATTAAAAGATCTGAGCCCAAATTAACACAAGGGAGAATCTGTTCAGAACAAAGTAACCACCCCATGTGAGAATAGGAGTTCTTTTTTAATCCTCTTTGTTATTCCTAAAATTAAAATATCTTGGCAGAAAAACACCATAAGCATCAGCCAGTAAGCTTTACGGTCCCAGATATAAAATCCTAGCAGTTATATTTTAAGACGGTTTAATCAGCTGCCAGGCCACTTTGAAACTACCCATAAACAACGTGGAGTACTGTTCTTTACATCCAGTTCACTTAAGAATCCTCTTGGTTACCATCTGCTCTGATCATATTTCTGTGACTGTGATGCTTTAATTCTGTAATCCCAACTCACAATACAGGGTTGAGTCTAGTCCACCCTGCCCCACCAAACCTGATTCACTCACATATCACATTAACACTAAAGGAGAGATAGAAAATAATAGTATACCAACCTTGAATTACTTTCTCCTTGTTTAATCTTGTTTGTCCACTAAAGTAGAAGGTGAGGGGGGGGGGAAAACACTTTTATTACCAAATTAGGTCATTTTTAAGATGAGAAAAAAATCAGCAATGAAAGGTAATGATATTCATAAAGATAGCATATGAACTTTGTGACATACTTCATAATCTAACCTGTAAAACTTATTCTAAATTAATATTTACAATCATTTAATGTACTTAATTGCTAAGCTAAGAATTTCATACTGCCCAAATTAAAGTGTATAGATCACAAATCAATCTTAAGTGAAAGGTGGGAAAGTCTATTAAAAATAATCTTGTTAAATATTGTTAAAATAAGTATGTTGACCAAAACGATTATCACAGGCAGTAGAACCCAAACATATGTCAGTCTGTCCACTGCTGAATGGAATGAGCACGTGCAGGACTTGAGTAGAGTGGGAAAGAAGCGCACAAACCTTCTCCCAGGTCCTAGGCCTTCTCACGCTGTACTACCTTGTAGTACTAACAACTATCTGCAGAACTGATCTACATGCTGAAGAACTGAGGTTTGGGTAATATATTTTTAAGAATGAAAAAACCAAACGAAGCCAAACCAATTTTGAAGCACCAGAAGGGTGAAAGGACTGGAAACTTTGTCACAAAGTAACAGTCAATTGAGGCTGGAGGGGGAAAGAGGCAGGGTTCCACGGACAAGACTGAATGACAAGGTAGAGCTACAGTTAAGCCAGCATCAAATACACAAAAAGCTATCAAGGAGAATTCAGTTGAAACCTCCTTAAGCTCTTTCTACGTGCTAAATAAGTAGAGTGAGAGGCACTGGAGACACAGAGATGCTCGGGGGCTGCCCTTGAGAAAGGAGTTGGCTTGTTCTATAGGGACACTGGACACAGAATTGGGAATGGAGATAAAAATTGTAAACAGGTTTCTTCAAAACAAGTTATTTTCTCATTTTTAAAATCAAATGTCTACAGCCCCTATTTATATCCTTCTATGCCAAGAGAGGTGAAAATCTTTGAAGTAAACTTTATTGGCATGTATCGGGCTCAGGAACAAAACTGCTTTGGCTCTAGGAGCTAGGTTTAGCTTAAGTGCTTCAGTTCTTCCTGTCAGACAACGATAGATAGTAACAGTCTCTATCTCACATGATTCTTAAGATAATTGAGTGAATACCATTAAAGTGTTTAGAATACTGCAGCTTTTAGTAAGCATTCAATAGTTATAAGAACTTTATAGAAGCTTTATAGAAATCAAAGATTTAACTTAATGCATTTTTTAATCTTTAAAAAAATTGTGAAATGGTGAAATAAACAATATAAACAAATAAAATGAACACCCATGTTAACAGATCATTGCCAGCCTCCTAGACCCTTTTCCATCACAATGTCCTCCCACCTGCAGGGGATCCATTACCTGAACTTTTGGATGCTCATTTACTTGCCTTTCTTTATAACTTTCCCACCCGTGTAGAGCATAGATTAGTTTCGCTGCTGTTGAACTTTATAATGAATTGCTTCTTACTCTATGTAGTCTTCTGCATGTTGTTTTTGTTCAACATTTTGTGAGATGCAAAGAGAAACACTGATATGAAAGCAAAACATCAGCTGCCTCCTGCACACCCCCTACCAGAGATTGAGCCCACAACTCAGGCATGTGCCCTGACTGGAAATCAAACCCGCAACCTTTTGGTGCACAGGACAACACCCAACCAACTGAGCCACACCGGCCAGGGCCCCACCAAGTGATTGTGATGCATGCTTATGTTTGAGAACCACTCAAGGATAAGCAAACAGCTCTTTTTGTAAACAAACTTTTACTGCAATATAGTCACACCCAGTTGTTTATGTATTGTTATGGCTACTTTCACACTAAAACTTGAAGCTGAGCAGTTCAGGCAGACTGTATGTCCCGAAAAGCCTAAACTATTTACTATCTAGCCCGTTAATAAAAGTCTGCTCACCTGCCCTAGCCGGTGTGGCTCAGTGGTTAGAGCACTGACCCGAGGCCTGAAGGGTCCTGGCGTTCAATTCTGACCTAAGGGGACGTACCTTGGTAGCAGGCTCCTTCCCATGCAGGAGGCAACTAATCAATGTCTCTCTCCCCCCCCCTCCACTCCCTGTGAAAAACAATGGAAACAATATCGAGTGAGGATTAAAAATAAGTAACTAGAAAGAAAATAACATTAAAAAAAGTTTGCTCACCCATGCCTAATGACATATATCTAGCACTAGATTTTTCTGGGATCAGGGTATGCAAATATTTAGCTTCATTATATAATACCAAAGTGGTTATACCAACTTATACCACTCTGCAGTGTTCCACATCCTCACTACCACCTAGTAAGAGCTCCCAATTTGTGCCAATCTGACACCTGAACAATTTATCTCACTGTGACTTTAAGTTGTATTTCCCTGATGACTATGATGGCTGATAACTCCCACTTTGTTTTAAATGAAGCACTACTTTAAAAAAAATTTTTTTTTTAAATCTCCCATTGGTTCTGAGCTACTCAGGTCCAGAAAGGAACTCCATCAGACCTTAAAGACAGAATCACAAACTCAGGTCAGCCTGGAACCTTATCCATTGTTTAACAAGTATAGTTGCCAACCTGCCAACCTCTACCAGGAGCAGAGGTCCTCAATGTGGAGTGTGGACCAGAATCCCGATGGACTTATTAAAATAGTGACTGCTGGATCTGGCTAATATGTGCTCGTTCTTCAAGATCTAACACAGGCAGCCAGCTCTTCAGGCAGCCGTCCTTCCGGGCCCCATTCCCCACCTACCATCCCATTTAAATGCCCCAACTCCATACTGCCATTTTACCCTGGCACAACTAAGTTATCATCTGCACGCTAAGTAATTTTTTACTTGTGTGTCTATCTGGCTCCAATTCCTTAAAGGCACAGCCAGAGGTTGTATCATCCTAATATGAAGAAAATCCTAGGAAATAACAGAACCTCAATGTATATACTCTGTCTATGGAGAGTCATCTATAATTATCTACCAAAATGACAAATTTGGCCCGGCAGGGCGTGGCTCAGCAGTTAAGCGTTGACCTAGGATCCAGGCGATCAGGGTTCGATTCCCAGTAAGGGCACATGCCTGGGTTGCAATGACTCTCTCATTGATGTTTCCAGCTCTCTCTCTCCCTCTCCTTTCCTCTCTCTGAAATCAATAAAGATATGTTTTTTTTAAAAAAAGACAAATTTGTTCACTCTTTCATCCAGCAACCTTGTTACTATGAATACCTGCATTCATCCATATTTAAAAGAATACTTGTTATAGTATTATTTCTAACAGCAAAAGAATGGTAAATAACCTACATGTCCATTAACAGAGACTTGGTTGCATTAACAAATAAACAGTGGTATATCTACATAATGGGATACTATGTAACTATATCCCCTAAAAAGAGAGAAATGGGATGTAAAGATACGGAACGATCACTAATATATTATTATTGGGTTTTTTAATCCTCACCTGAGGATATTTTCGCCATTGCTTTTTAGAGAGAGTGGAAGAGAGACAGACAGACACATCGATGTGAGAGAGAAACATCAATAGTGAGAGAGACACATCAATAGTTGCCTCCTGCTCCCACGCCAGCCAGGGGTTGAGCCTGCAACTGAGGTACATGCCCTTGGCCAGAATCAAACCAGGGACCCTTCAGTCTGCGGGCCGACGCTCTAACAACTGAGCCAAACCGGCTAGGGCAGCAGACTGTCATTTCTAATACAGAAAATGGTTTTCACCCAGTTGGGCGTGGCTCAGAGGTTGAGCGTTGACCTAGGATCCAGGCGATCAGGGTTCGATTCCCAGTCAGGGCACATGCCCCGGTTGTGGGCTTGATCAATGACTCTCTCATCATTGATGTTTCTATCTCTCTCTCCCTCTCCTTTCCTCTCTCTGAAATCAATAAAGATATATTAAAAAAAAAAAAAAAACGGTTCTCAAACACTGAATTCACTTCCTGTCTCAGCCTCATAATCTCGTTGAGACCAAGAATAAAAGAACTGCTGCAGCCCACATTTACTATTATACAGGAACCTCTCAAAAGGTTTTACCAACTTTATACGGATCACAAATTCTCTTATATAATAGTTTATGAATTTTAAATCAAGGGTGAGGAGAAATTTAAAAATATTGCCAGTGCAGATCTTACAAATCACACAAATTCAGCAGAAATAACATCTTGTACACTTGCTGAAAGGATAGCTCTGGATTTTAATTTAATCCCAATAGCTGATTTGATAAAAGACTTTATCAGCAAAATGTCATCCCATAGCTTGTATCTCAGCCACCGACATGCCATCCAGACTGAGGAAGACAGGGAAATGTTGGGGCCATGTGGGTCACTGCCACGGCCTCCTGTGCAAGCACAGGAAGCACCAGGAGGTCGAGGTAATGCTGGTGGCATGCATCAACTTCGATAAATATCACCCAGGAGACTTTGAGAAAGTTGGTATGAGGCATTACATTCTTCAGCAGAAGAACTGAGAAGAAAAGGGTGTTGGCAGGGCCTGTGTCCTGGCAGCTTGAAGCCACATGGAGGAAGTTCATTAAAATGTCCATTAATGGGGGGGAAAAAAGTCATCCTATAAAAAATGGAATCCCAAATACTTGGATAGTTTTGTGATAGCACTGCCCCACCATCTAACCATTTTTAGTGAAAGGAGAAAAAAGAGCTGATATAATGAAGGACTTCATTTGGCTGTAACTCAGCAGAGACTGTTGCAGACATTATTGACTTACTAACCAATACCGGCGTTCTGTTAGTCACTTCTGCCTTCAAATCACTTTATAAATATTATAGAGTAGGAATCCAGAAATAAAATTTTTTCTAAAAACATTCATAAATATTTAGTTTTACAGCTTTTGTCAGCTCTATCAACAGGTCTGTACAAATCCTTGAAGCAACTGTTTAAAGTTAGTTTGGGTGTGTGAAAGAAAAGTAGGTGGCTAAAATAGTTTTACTATTAATCTACCTCCCTTAACCAAAGTTTGACTTGTGACAGAGACAGAGAAGGCGAAGGGAGCTGAAAGGTCAGAGGGCTATATTTTCAAGGAGTCAGGAATAACACCGCTCATTTTCAAAATCTGCAGTGTGATCCATTTCCAAAGCACAACACCCGACTTTGCAAGAATCCAAATGCTTCTGCCAAGTAGTGAAGTCTCATGACCAGCCATTTATAGGCCCTACTAATAGGCATCATTCATTTTGTAGATTATCACAATGTTCTTCACTTAAAAAGGTGTTTCTTTATTAGTTCTGATTTATATTTTATGGCATTTCTTCAGAAATCACATAGGAAGCTTAATTTCCCACACATATCCTTTTAAAGAATTCAAATTCAACAGACAAGCACTCAGTGTGCCACAAGAGACAAATTGTGGGAAATTAATACACATTTGGGGCGAGTTTTCAAAATAGATATGCTTTAGCATACATGGAAAGGTAAAGCCTCACCTGACATTTAATCATGAGTACATTTTATTCTAATTCCTCTACACCAATTAAGTCATTTGAAAATATACAAGATTTCAAGAGCTAGTAACATGTAGACTTTCCCTAGATGTTTGAGTGGGCAAAGGACGTAATACTCAGTTCATGGTATATTTTTGTTTATATATAGATTAATCCTAGGTGCAAAGGCTAGGATCAACCCCATTCCCAGGAAACAAATATCACAGTAACATAACAATTATGTTATCTTTGTAAACATTTAAAGATGATTTAATATTTATTTTTGTTTGTGTGTTTTTTTTAAGACCAGAACAATGAATAGCATTCAACAAAAGTAAGTTAAGTGATACTAGAGGCAGAGTAAGAAAAACATCAGTTTTGCTACCAATAACTTTACTAATCCATCACCTTTAAGTCATTAGAGTAAATTAAATTTACTTTGTGAAAAAAAATTCTAAGTTTTAAGAGCTAGTTAAAAATGGAAGTGAAATGGATGCATCATCTGCAGGCAACTGATTGCAAACACCTACAAATAACACCTCAAGGGAACTAGGTCCTTCAATATATTGCGGAGGTGATGGAAATGCCAACACTTATTGGAGTTTTCAACAATGCTTTGCTATAAAATCATGAGAAGTTACAGTTTAACAATATTAGTAGACTTAAAGTTTGAAATCTTGGGCATTCTATTCCAAAAATGATACACAAGGAACTTTCACTTCCAAGTATGATGAAGAAAGGTAAACACACACATACAGTAACAACACAAGATTCATAATAAAGGATTTGGTTGAACTTAAAGAAATTGCTTTTTAAAATTTTTCTTGCATCACCTGAAGACACACTGTTCAATATAATAATCCAACTCAAAAAATACTGATCATGCCATCAGTTTCAAGGTGTTCTGACTATATTAAAGTTATACAGAATCAGGTAACAGAAAACCCAAGTGCCTATTCCCCATAAATGATTCAATCTTGCTGACTCCAGTAAGGGTCATTACATTTAAGTATGGTAATTATCAATCAAGTTTGAAATCATTTCTTTTCCTGAAAGAATCATCAATTTTTAGCTTTGAGAATTCTGAAGGAGAAAAAAAGAAATGGTCCAGACTGGGAAGCAGCTTACCACAATCCTTAGATTATTTCAGCACTTTCATTCCACTTTCCCAGAAATATGTAACAGAACAAAGCAAATTATTCTTATCACTACTCACAATGATATGAAGAGAAATAAAAAGCAGCCTCTAAAATGGCTGGTGATATTCGAGCAACCTACAAATACTAGTCTTTTACTCAATAAAATAGGATGCAGAAGAGTACAGTGGCTTAGAGGCTGGGCTGTAGTCATGTAGCTTTAGTTAAAATGCCACCACCCCAATCTGACATGTGACTTTAACCGAGTTGCATGCCTTCTGCCTCAGTTCCTTATCTGCAAATTGAGGAGCAATCCTTACCTCACTGAGTTGTTGTCAGAATTTAGTTAAAACAGTGCCTGACATAATTTCTTGAGATATTTTTTAATTGGTTTCTATAGAAATTCTGTGAGAAGTCAATTTTTAAAAAAAATCAAGCCTTTTGTAAGAATCCAGGAGGAAGATAAAATCCACATTCATATAACTATTGTTTATTAAGAGTCTAAAGAGCGATTACCTGATTTCTCAAGAGGTGTTTTAACCCAGATTCCCTACAACTTCTGAGCTTCAATTATATGCCAGACACTGTGCTGGCTGGGTCAAGGGAACCAGAAGTGCTCTAACACTGGAAGAAACGGCAATCAGGCCTGTAGTTCCTGCCCTGGTACCGATTAGCTTAGGAGCTTAAGTAGGTCACAACGTGGTGGTAGGGCATTCTATAAATGAAGAGGGTAGAGGAGAAGAGATAGGGAGCAATTCGATTTCTAGTTTAGTCATTAAAATCCTGTGAATCCTAAAGGGACAATTTCAGATGATTCCCAAGATTATCTTCCTGTAAAAGAAGAACAGGACAGAAAAGATAGCAGTTAAGTCAGCTTGACAAGGTTAAATCATATTAGTGTTCCTTGTGAGCTCCGTGAAGTAAAAAATGGGACCTTATCCTGAGACACAGAAGCATGGAACAGACTGACGATTCTCAGAGAGGAGGCGGGAGTGGGTGGGTAGAGATTAACCAAAGAACTTATATGCATATATGCATAACCCATGGACAGACCACAGTGTGGAGAAGGGGGGGAGGGTAGAAGGGGCAATGGGGAAAAAAGGGGTACATCTGTAATACTTTCAACAATAAACTTTAAAAATAATACCCCCCCCCCCAAAAAAAAATGGCATCTCATTTATCTGTGTAACCCAGTCCACTGGCACGCAGTGCCTACTCAAAATGCAGCTCTGGTAAACTATACATACACATGTATTTGAGGATTGACTGCATTTTTATTAGGGCTGTCCTTATAGAAAGAGTAATGTAATTCTCAGACATACTTCTTCCCCGCCACTGTGCTATACACTTTATCTTCCTCCCATTTAGTTCTCACATTAACCCGGCGAGGTAGGTATCATCACTATCCTCGTCTTGTTTCAGGAAACTGAGATGGGAAAGATTAAGCGAGTCAGGGGAAGGCCAGGTTACGAGGCTTCCAGCTGGACCCCGATTCTTACCTAGGCCTATCTCGCTTGAAAAAATCTGTGCTCTTAACCACCCTGATTTTCACTTCCGTTCAGCAGTCGTTAAAAAGTGTTGAAAAAAGATGAGACCCAAAGATATATCAGCATTTGGCTCCGTGTAATGTTATGATAAATAGCCTCGAGGAGCTACTCTGCAGTCTTGGCAATTTGCTGGGTACCACAAAGGTGCCCAGAGGAGTCTGGCGACAAGGCTTTCTTCAGCTGGGAACTCGACCATGCACTTATCCGGACCCCACTGTCCTCATGTGTCACGCGGGGCTGATGATATTAGCTCCTGCCTTCCCCGCTCCGCTCCGCGCCGCTGGGGGAGGAGAGGTCGGAAGGAAACAGCACCAACGAAAACACCTAGAAAAGCGCCCGTCCGAGCCAACTCCGCGAGGGGTGAGCAAGCAGAAAGAGAAGGGAGGACAGACCAACGGAGCCTCGCCCGCTCCAAAACACACTCAGCGACGGGAAGGAGGGAAAGGCACCCGCGACAGCCATACTCACTGCCGCACGACAGTCAGAGCGAAGCGCATCCTTGCTGGCGTCTGGAGCACCGCGCCGGCCGTTCTCCGCACTGCGGGCTCCCCGCTGCCGCACCACTTCCGCCAAACCCCGCCGCCCCGCCGGCTCCCCGGCCATAGGCTGAGGCGCCCGCCGACGTCATCTCCTGAAGGCCAATCAGGGCAGCGGGAGGCTGATAGGCCCGTGGAGACTGGGGAGAGCTGAGGCCCCGCCCAGGGCCGTGGCGCTTGCGCCTCGGCGCGCGGGCCTGTGATTGGAGCGCAGCAGGTGGCGCTGGGCCGCCCTGCAGTCGGGGTTGGACGCGGTTCTTCGCCGATCCGCAGCGCCTGCGGCGGACAACGGAGCCACCCCGCGCGGGCTTGATCTGATTTGCGGCGGGCGCGCAGCCAGTCGCCTTACTTCCTGGGTATACAGCTCCAGGCAAATTGGGTCACATGTTTAACGGCTCACCCCAGCTCAGGAGATGGAGGGGCAGCAAGTGTGTCCAGCGCAGTAAGAAGCTAGGAAGATTCCGGGACAAGAGGAATGAGGAAAATAAGATAAACAGCAGTTTGTGGCCATCTAGTAAACCTTATCTCCCCTAAACTAGGAACAGCTACTAGTAAGTGGTTTGCACTTCTCCCCAGCCACAGGGTAAAAAGATTAAATCACCCTACTCTGACAGACAGATAACAGAAATCCAGTTAAGAGCCATTTGCCAACCACACCCAAGGGCAGACGAAAATAAGAGCCTAAGTCTCATTTTGGTACACCAGCATAATGAATATTCTATTGTTCCCCCCTAAACACCCAGCCTTTAAAACCTCTGAAAAGGAGCACCCCAGTGCGCTGCCCGCCTGGGGAGCACAGCAGCGCCATCTCCTTCCCCTTCCTCCCACCCAGGGGACCTCCGGGGGGCTTGCAGCCAGAGGAGCGCGGGCACTGGCAGACCCAGGGCCCCTCGTAAACCTGTTTCCAAGCCCGCACCCCTTTTCTGACTGCCCAGTGAGTCAAAGCAGCCCATCCTAGACTCTTTTTTTTTTTTTTAATGTATCTTTGTTAAAAAAATGTATCTTTATTAATTTCAGAGAGAGAGGAAGGGAGAGGGAGAGAGAGCTGAAACTTCAATGATGAGAGTCATCATTGATCGGCTGCCTCCTGCATGCCCCCCACTGGGGATCCAGCCCACAACCCAGGCATGTGCCCTGACTGGGAATCAAACCAGGATCTCCTGGATCCTAGGTTGATGCTCAACTGCTGAGCCACGCCCGGCCGGGCCCCTATTGCTTCTTCTATGCCCTTCCATGGTTCATTGTCCTAAGTATATTTTTGCTTCGGTTAATAAATTCTTGCTTTCTTTTCTACACTTTGTCTCTTGATGAAATCTTGCCCTCAAGAAGACAAGAACCAAGGTCTCATCGTCTCACTGGTAACAATGTCTGTGGACTTAGACCACCCAGTTTCAGTCCCTAGCTCCACTTTGGCAGGCGTGCTCCTGGAGCAAACTTCAGTCAGACTCTTTTGAGCCCTCTTCTAGACTAGACCTCATCCTAGGCCTCCTGAGCCCAGTTTTCCCAAAGAATCCTGCAAAGCCAGCTTATCAAGAATCCCCTTCCCCTTGGTATTTAATCACACTCTCCTTCTTACGCCCTTGATTTCTAAAGGAGTTCCTCTTCAGTTGACCCTTGCTATCTAATCAAATTCCTCTTAGTAATTTTCCATTCTCTCCCTCACCCTGGCCCCTGGCTATAAATCTGCACTGATCCCTCTTGTATCTCGAGTTGAATATAAACTCTTTCCCCCATTGCAATAGTCTTGACCTCTACTGCAGTGGTCTTGATTAGAGTCTTCCCTGCCCCTCACTGTTTTTTAAAAAGCATCTAGTGAAAAAGTTCTCTTTAACAGCCTCCAGGGACTTGAGTCCCTTTTAACCCTCGATTGCATGATAGGTAAAATGGGATAACAGTAGCTATGACACAGGTAAAGCTTTACAATGTGACCTTTACATTATCTTTATGCATTTTTAACCTAAATTCTCATATTTAATAATGCATTTGTTTCATTGAATCCCCAATTGACATACAGGAGGATGGGTTTAAAGCACTTAAGTGATGCATGGGACATTTTGATTGATAGTCACACGTTTCAAAATAATTTCACTTTTATAGTCCCATTTAGCCCTCAGAAAACTGAGGCAGACAGGGTAAGCTATATTATCCTCACTAAAAAGATGAGAAATGTAGCCTAGGGAGAAATTAAGCAATTTGTCTAAGCTCACAGCTGGTCAGTGTTGATACAGGACTAATTCAGAGCTTCTCAAACCTACCTGCACATTAGAACTGTCTGGGACCTTTTTTTTTTTCTTTTTAAAATATATCTTTATTGATTTCAGAGAAAGGAAGGGAGAGGGAGAAAGACGGAGAGAGAGTCATCGATCGGCTGCCTCCTGCACACCCCTGACTGGGGATCGAGCCTACAACCTGGGCATGTGCACTGACCGGGTATTGAACTGTGATCTCCTGGATCCTAGATCAACGCTCAACTGCTGAGCCATGCCTGGCAGGGCTGTCTGGGACCTTTTGAATTCCAGGCTACATCCCAGAAAAATTAAATCTGAACTTCTGTGGGAGGGGCCCAGGCATCAGCAACTTTTAAAATCCCCATTTGTTTCCAATGTGCGGCCAGCTTTAAGATCTAGAAGTTTAAAACAGTGCTTTTCAAAATTCTGCTGGAGCCCGCCGGCAGAGTCAAACAGCCCCGAGAGTAGGGGTGAGGATGAAGAAAAGACAGACACAAAAAACATGGGATCGGGAGGAATGCAGCTCCTGACGGCTGCAGCCCCGAGTTTATTTTCCAAGCTCAATTTATACCGGCGCTGTTGTTTTTGCTGAATAGCACCCTGCCCGGTAATCCTTCCCCTTGCCGGATACAAAGTAGTTCTCGCCAGGCTGCGCAAACACACCTTCAGCGTAAACATCCTGCCTCCTGCAGGAGCTCAGACCTTGGTAACTATCTTTGTCTCGGCTTCTAAGGGGAACTTGCTGGGAAGGATTGAGTCCTTGGCTTGACTGTCCCTTAACCCTTCAGGCCAGGGCCAGCTTCCTAATAAGCCTTTCTAGAATTTAAGGCCGAAAACTAAATTAGTATCGCCTTGGTGCCTCAAGGTCTGGGTCAGGGAGCAGGGGAGCACATCTGCAGCTCACCCAGGCAGCTCCTCCGTGCCTGGGGCCACAACGGCTCCCCACAAAATTCCACTTGCACACAAATCATCTGGAGATCTTGTTAAAATATTGGTTCTGATTTACTAGGCCTGGAGTGGGGGCCAAATTCACCATCTCTAACAAGCTCCCAGGGAAACAGGAGGCATTCTCAGGGTGAGGGTGGAAGGATCATCAGTGGGCCCTAACAGTGGGACCCTGCCTACTGTGAGGGTACACTGCCTATAAATAGATACCCCATATATATGTTCTGAATGCCTGAATGAATGAACCATCCAACTGATTCTCCTGGAAATTTGACCTAGAATGTTCTGGGGTGACCCGCGACAGACGACCACCAGAGTTTGTGTTTGAGTTTTGGAGCCTTTATTAGCTGGCCAGCGGCTACAGTTGCGGCGTCTCACCCATGTAAGAGCCGAACTGCAGCCCCGACCCTCAGTTCTTCTCTCACTTTATGCTCAGTAACCACAAAGGAACTCGAGTAAAGGGGTTTCCAATAATTTGTCAGGCTGTCAGCTTTTGGTACAGGAAACAAGAGGGGACCTTTAGCAACACAAAAGGGACGATTTCAACACAATGTCTTACAATGAGCAATGGGGTTATGCTTGGCCGGAGTGTGACTGGTTTGCTCTTTCTATGGGAACTCATGGGGGGGGGGCGATTATTGGGCTGGCTTGTCGGGCCTTGTCCTGTACAGTAGGGATCTTACTCTACGTTTACTGTTAGTTCCTTAGGTATATTCTTCTGGCCATGGTGGCCAGAACAAGAAAAGTGAAATTAATTAGGCAGTTATCTGTGAGGACTAAAGCGGAAAGAAAGCATGGAGAGAAACCACGAGATAGAGTTACGAGGAAGCACGTAGACTGAAGCAATGAAGAAACAAAACCCGCAAATAATACAAGCTCGAGAACAGATTTTTAGAGGATAAGAACCAGCAAAGGTAATGGAAGGACTGAGTTGACACAAAGACAGAAACAGGTACAAGTGAGTAGTGCAGCAATCTCCTGTCCCTGGTCCCTCAAAATGCCATAGTACTAGAAACCTTGTAGTTTCTGGGTTTTATGGTAAAACCTCTTTCTACTGCCCTAGCCTGTTTGGCTTAGTGGTTCGAGTGTCAGCCTGTGGACTGAAGGGTCCCGGATTCACCTCCGTCGCAGGCTCAGTCCCTGGCCCAGGTTGGGGCGTGTGCGGGAGGCAGCCAATCGATGTGTCTCTCTCACATGGATGTTTCTCTTTCCCTTCCACTCTCTCAGAAAAGCAGCGGAAAAAATATCCTCAGGTGAGAATAAGAAAACAGTAACAAAAAAACCCTTTCTATTTAAGGTGGCCTGAGTGCATTTCTAAAGACTAACTAAAAACAGCCTTCCACTTTGTCTTATTTAATACAATAACTCTGCAGTAATTAAGGTATCAGTTAGTTCGGTTTTTCAGATGCAGAAATTCATCTCTCAAGATCTGAGTTTTACCCCAGGTAAGTATCAACACTGTAACTATAAAAGTAAGTACTGGCTCTGTTTCATTATTTCCTTGGCTCCTATCAAAATGTTTGAAACATAGTAAGGATGCAGTTAAAGTTCGTTAAATGAATGAATGAAAAATATCTATTATGATCAGTTTGTCAAATGAATCATACATCTGAAAGTAGCAGATAAAGTGGGAGAGGATTACTTTAGGAGAAAGTCAGGAAATTATGAAGCACCAACATTCATTTTAAAAATTATCCCAAGAAATATGTACAAACAATGTCGGTCTTTGAAAGAATTGACATTATCCTGCATTATTCATAGCAGTTCAGGGATTGTCCTTTAGCTTATAAAATGAACAAGGAGTTTGTTTAAATTTCATTTAGATAGA